GAGACATCGGTCAGCTATTTTAAACATAGTATTTGAATCTTCATTTTGTTCTTATAACCATAAGTAGGCTAGTTTAGAAATGAAATGATGTAAAAATTGATATGAAAATCTTATTTCACAACCACAATAGTAGGAATTGGAACAATAAAAAAAATTGTGTTGAAGATTAAATATATTTGTTAAAAACAATAAATGATATGCTTCTCCATAGGTATAATGGACAGTGGGACCTTGGCCAGGAAGTTCTTGATGACATTATTTATAGAGCTCAGCTAGAACTTTTTTCTCAACCACTATTGGTAAGTTATTATATTTACTCTTTATTAAACATACCTGTGACTGTCAGTCTTGCTCAGCCCATTCTTGCCATGTGATACCCTGAGTTACTGTAGAGAGTTACCCCACTAGGAAGAAGGCCATTACCAGTGTTCCCTAGACTTTGAACTTCCCAGCCTCCAAAACTGAAGAATAAGACTTTACAATGTGCCCAGCAGAGTTTGTGTGATAAGTACAAGCTGTGGTAGAATGGAAAGCCTACGTGAGGCCGATGATGAAGAAAAGGACAAAAACTCACCTTACTGGCCCACAGGCGTGAAAAGATGCACAGTGTCACTAATCACCAGAGATCACCTCACACCTATTCAGATGGCTACTGTCTAAAAAACAAAATATAACAAGTGTTGGCAAGTATGTGAAGAAATTGAAATCCTTGTGCACTGTTTGTGGAATTGTAAAATGGTGCAGCCACTATGGAAAACAGTATGGATATTCCCCCTAAAATTAAAAATATAACTCCCATATAATCCAGCAATTCTACTTCTGGGTATATATCCAAAATAATTGAAAGGAAGGTCTCAGTGAGATATTTGTACACCCATGTGCATAGCAGCACTATTTACAATAGCAAAGAGGCGAAAGCAACTCAAGTGTCCATTGATGGATGAATGCATAAACAAAATGTGATACATACGTACAATGAAATATTCAGTTTTTAAAAGGAGGAAATTATGACACATGCTACAACATGGATGAACCTTGAGGACATTGTGTTAAGAGAAATAACCCAATCATGAAAAGACAAATACTATGAATCCACTTGTATGAGGTATCTAAAGTAGTCAAAATCACAGAAACAAAATAGAATTGGGGTTACCAGGGGGTAGAAGAAGAGAGGGAATTGTTTAATGGGTACAGAGTTTAAGATTCGCAAGATGAAAACGTTCTGGAGATCTTTTGCACAACAATGTGAATCTACTTAATACTACTAAACTATACACTTAAAAATGGTTAAGATGGTAATAAGTAAATAAACAGATGGAGCTGGGAGCCTACCCCTCCTGCCACAACCAGTCATGCACCACGGGGCCGTCCAGGGTCCTGAGGCAGGAGCTGAGGGCTGCCACCCCCACCAACAACCAGGCAAGGAGCATGCCAGAAACATCACCTCTATGCAGGTGGCCCACCATAGCCAATGCAATAACCACAGCTGCTGCAAAAGCGGCTAGACGCCACAACAGTAACCACACTCACCCTGCAGGTGGCCCGCCAGCCACTCAACTGTATTGACAAGCAAAGTCACCAGCGGAGACCAAAAAAAAAGAGAGGACATCTCTCTCTCCAGGAAGCCCACTCCAGAGTAAAAGAAGCAGCACTACTCTACAATAATAATTGGGGACACCTCTCTCAGCATTGGACAGATCATCTAAGCAGCAAATCAACAGAGCCAGCGGAGACCAAAAAAAAAGAGAGGACATCTCTCTCTCCAGGAAGCCCACTCCAGAGTAATAGAAGCAGCACTACTCTACAATAATAATTGGGGACACCTCTCTCAGCATTGGACAGATCATCTAAGCAACAAATCAACAGACTAATTGTTAATCTTTCAAAGGGAGAGAACAAATCTAGGGTTATTAGAGGTGGGAGGTAGGGAGGGAGGGGAGATGGGGATAGACTAAATAAGGGGCATAAAGAATAAGTACGATTCGTAATAATGAATATGCTAGTAATATTGATTTGATCAACATACTTTGTACACAGGTGATGGTAGTCAACGTTGAACCCCCAAAATACATATAATCAATTATGCTTCAATTAAAAAAGGGGGGGGGGCACATGAACACTCAGAGCCTCAGTTTCCTCTTCTAAAAAGGGAGATCATTTCCCTTGCTCTATATAATCCACTGTCCTGTTCATTTATTTGTTTATTTATTCAACAATTATTTATGGAGCACATACAACGGGCCAGATACTGTGCTAGGTGCTGGAAATACAGTGGTGATACGATATAAAGCTGACCCTTACCCTCAAGGAGCTTGCTGTGAGGATCAATAAAATAACAATTGTGAAATTGCTCTGTCAGCTAAAAAATAAATAACCAAACAGATAAACATACCTATGCTAAAAAAAAAAAGGCACTACTGGGTTAAAAAAAATTAATATGTAATATATGAGGCAATCCAAATTATTAGGGGAAAAATTTATTCCATAATAGCAATTGGTTAACTATTGGAGAAAAAATTAGTTTAGATCTTTTCCACCTACCACTACCAAAATAAAGTTCAGATAAGTTAAAGAATTGTATGTTTTGAAATTCTTTAAGAAAACAGAGAAGGTTCTAAATATTTATTCAAATTTCTAGAGAAGTGAAGACTTTCTAAGCTTAAGTGATAGGACAAAAGTCACTAGATTGATTTTTTTCCGCATAAATATCTAAATTTTAAATCAACAGTTTTTTGAAAGCAAAATTAATATTCAGTACAAAAACTAAGAAAATTATTCTCAGCAGGCATGACAAGAAAAAGCCAATTAATATTTTATTCTACATAAAAAGATTTTCTACTCCCCCACAAAATAAGTACATCTCCAAGAGGTAAATGATCAATTAAAAAACCAATGTAAACATCCAGTAATGGAGTGAGAGGGCATTCTTCATGTGAAGGTGGTAATATGACAGAATTCCGAATATCCTTCTGCAGAAGCAGTTTGGCATTGTGTGTTTATTTTCTTTGACTCTATCCCATGTCTAGCAATGTATCCCAGGAAACAAAATACCAAAAAAATGTATTATAAGTACAATATTACAGTGTTATTTTTAATTGCAAAGTAATAAAAACAGTGTAAATATTCCTCAGCAGAGAATGATTTAAAACATATGATATTTACTTGATGAGATTATATATTTGAGAATTTATATTAAAGAAAAATGGTAGCTTATGTTAAGTGTAAAAGCAGTATACTGCTATTTTTTAAAAATCTGGACAGGACAGAGAAAACATACAAAATGCTAGTGGTTGTCTAGGTGATTCGACTGTGAATAGTTTTTATTTCTTCCCAATTTTCCAAGTTCTTAATAGTATTTTTATAATGGAATTTTAAAAATATTTATGCAATTTCTACTTGCAGTACTTTAAGAGTACAGGTTTTTAAAAAGCCATTTTGTTTATATCTTTTTTTATAATTTAAGCTGAATATAAATTTATTGAGATAGGATTTACAATAATTTTTTGATATTTGTTTTTGTTTGTTTGTTTGTTTGTTTGTTTGTTTTTCCTTTTTGTCTTTTTTACTGACCGGTAACGGGAT